CCAATAAGACATAATAAATAATATTATTATAGTTACCCCATTTTAAGTTTTGATTTTGTTTCGATTGTTTCAGCGAGTTCGTTTATTGAAAGATTCATAAATGGAGTTTCGAATTCTTCACAGAATCTCTGTACAACTTGCGCACCATCCTTCGACCTATACGACTTTGCACCTATAATATTAATTTAGATTTTATTTTTTCTAATTATATAAATTTTTTTTTTACCTTTCTGAGAACTATAAATTGTTGATATTGTCTCATCATGATTACTTATATCAGTTTCTTCCGTTATCAGGTCATCATCATCGTAACGAGCATCATAATTACCTCGACATGCATTGATAAGTACAAATTTTTGTGTATTTTTAATGTTTTATTAGACATTATGGCATTGAAAAGAGTATCCTTGATATTATATGTATCAGTCTTCGTATGTATTATATTATCTTCACCACCATGTGACATTACTACAATATATAAATTTTTCAATCCTGTAAAATTAAATCTTCTCACTGCAATGAAAACATTTTAATAAGCTTATGAGGTACATTTTTTTATATATTAGAATACCTTTGGACATAATAGATTTCACTTCTTCTGCACTGCCATCTTTTAAAATAATGAACGGAATTTTTTTGCTTTTGAAAGCTTCTCGTAATCGTTCGATATCGTTTATACTTTCAGATCTTATAGTGAATTTCTCAAAATTCATATGATTTATAATAATAACTAACGCTGGATTGATGTTAAAAAAATAACAATTCTCAGTTGTAGTGCTTAAGGAGGACAGTATATATCCTAAAGAGCTGTTTGTTTATAGATACATATATATTCTAATATAAAAATATTAAAATTCAACTAACGTTTCTTTATATTTGATTACACCCCAATCTTCCTTTAATATATTCGCTATTTCTTGTATGCTTTTTTCTTCACCTGATTCAAACATCTGATTTAAAAACATGTAGGGAAACATCGATGGATTATTTTCATTTACAACACCACAGGCTGCAAGTAAAAATTATGTAAAAATTAATTACGAACTAGATTGTAGACAAGTCTGAACTTTATCATGTTCTATTATTTAACTTACATATGCTTTGACATTGCAATAAAATGAGATTATCAACTGGTGGAAGTACCGGAGAATTAGAGTTCCCAAAAAATTCCATTAGTTTCTCTTTGAATCGTATATCGTTTTGTATTGTAATAATTTCATCGAAGTGATTAGTATTGGTCTCCTCTGAAATGTATGGTTCAATGATTCCATTTGCAATACTAAATACACCTAGTGCCCATTCTAATCTTCTGTTAAACACAAAAAAAAAATTGAGAATTAATATTAATTACAAAAACCATTAAGTAGTGTGGTATATTATTTCACCAATCAATTTTTTACATTCATCGACTCCATCAGCCCTGATAAGCAAAACGTAAGACAAGGTTCAATTTAATAAGCTTAAAAAATTAAAGAATTGTTTATAGATAAACAAGAAAATAGTCAGAAAGACAGGTAAATGGATGGACAGTTGGATACACAGATGAATAGACAGATGGTTGGACAGATGGATAGACAAATTGATAGACAAATGGATAAACAGATGGATAGACAGATGTAGAGGAACGTAAACATTGCTAAAATTAATCGTGTTTGTCTATAGATGGAGAATATATATAATGTATATGTGTATTACTGCTCAACATTTACTTTATTGTACTGCAAACATTTTTACAAATTGAGTTTATATTTATCTCCTTTCAATAATATTAGTGTCAAAGTAAAACTTTGTCGGTATTTCTAATAAAAAAATTTAAAAAAGAACTTGACTAAAACAAAAAATTTTTGTTAATAACTGTAACTTACGAATAATATGATTGAAAATGGGTACACAGCATAACTATTTTAGATAGATATCTAAGATGTTGATTACTGTTGATAGCTTTATATAGTTGTTCCAATTGCTTATCCAAGTTACAGCGACACATCAGTAAGAAAACGAAGTTAATATTAGTACAGCCTACATACTTTTCTTCCGAAACTACAATGTAATGAACTCTTTTTCATAGTTTTTATAAAATACCTCGGAAAAGTTACTATACCTTCCTTAAGAATATCACAGAATTTTATTATTGGTTGAAAATGGGGATTCCTCTCAATACACTCACATGCAATCATATAATGTTTCACTTTAAGCAAATTGTAGACATACTCCATACACTCCATGTTGAAGTCTTATATGCAACTGCTCCACACAACAATTAGGCAATCAAATGCATACATTACCTGAATTTCTTCCGTAATCTTTATTATATTTTTATTATTTTGTTAATAAATGATTCAGAGATAAAGTCCCCGTTCTCATTAAATGTGAAAGAATATAAAATCGTAGTGTTTAGTTACATATGCACATCGATAGGGTTCTGAAATATTTACAGGATTCAATAAAATTTCCAAGTAATTATATGCATAATATATAATCTGATAAATTTATATGTATTCAGATTTTGTCAAATTTATATCAAAAATTTTTATATAATTTATCAAATATATGACTACTTGAATAGTACATATACTATATAATTTAAGTCAATAGGCGGGTTGGGTAGTAAAATAGTGAAGCATTTTTTAAGTCCAAAAACTTTTCTAAGTAAATTTTTGGGCTGACCATACAGCTATTTCAAAGACCTGCAAATATTCCTCATCAGTATTTCTTAAAAATGTCTAAAAAATTACTAATCTTTTACTACGTTAAAGCTATTTGAGCCAGTGCACTTCAGCACTTTTACTCTTTCTTAACTCGAGGTATTTTCAAAACCCCTCTTTACCCTTCGAGTGGATTATTGTTGATCACTTCATCAGTCTAAGCAATGATTGACCGCAGATCTGCATACCTCCCCGAGGAGCCTGTAACCATTCTAAGATTTGATAACGCGGTGTTGGTAAGTCTGTCAGTTTTCGCAAATAATTTCAGGGCTCTATCTTTTGTGATCTTATAAAGTTCCTATGAAGTTTGAAAGACAATAATGTACAATGACTATGTTAATTTTTATAACAGTGGTTTATGCGTTCAATAAATTATTATTATATAATTATTATATAAAGAGATTTTTCGAACAGTAGTGAACTACAACAACAAATATTCATTTCATATTATTTTAATTAATTGAATTTTGGGCTGACAACCTTCATTAATGAACTTGAAGTCAATTCTTGTATTTAATTATTCGTAAATAATTTTTTGATACTGCAAATACCAGGAATCGAACTCGTGTCCTGCCAAATTTGAAGCTCATTATTATTATATATATTATTATACAAGTATTATAATTAGTTATCAATAAACAAAATAATTTGACAAAATTCTTAATTTTAAATTAAATGTACCTCGGCTTTAAACCCGGAGATAAAAAATATCTCCAGATCTAAAATTTGGACACAGGTTTAATGCTTACAATCTTTAGCACAATAATTATTTGCAGACAAATAAGCCAAATATATTCAGTTTTATATTAAAAGATCACTAATATTAGATATTTGGTGGTGTACAAAACAGTGGTATGGTCAGCACTAGAGATTACTTGGATAAGTTTAAAAAAATTTTTGGTTTTAAAAAATCCCGTTTTGTATTCAAAATAGAATTGCTGTCATAGAGCACAATATTCATATATTACATATATGAATAAATAAATGAAATATGTTTGTTATAAGTATGTTCTCATAAGACTTAATTAAAATTAATGTGTAAAAAATTATATATATAAAATTCGTTGTGGACCCCATATTCCAACAACGAATTATACAAATATTAAACTAGTTCTATCATATATATATAGCACAATAGCTTACACTTATAATAAAAAATTTATTAAGAAAGGTTATTTAAGTAGTAGCATAACTACTCTGTAGTGTTATAACTTCTGTAGTGTTCCTATTCCTCATTCTTGGAGAATTTCCAGTACCATTCTTTTGCAGTCCATCCCTTCCATTTACAAAATATTACATTATTTCGATATAAATTATTAACACAAAACAAATATTTTTTAAAACTCAAATGTTGATTTGAAGACAACGACTTTGGTATCACAACTATTAAAATATTAACCCATTGTGAAACGAGACCCTAATCATGTTGGATATCTTATCATATCGTATAATTGAACTTAAAGAGAATTTTATAGATAAAGTAATAACAATGTTTACTGTAACTGTTTGATAATAATTCGAGGTAATTTGATAATCACTTCTATCAGTCCACAATATAGGCTTTTTCCCCAAATCGTACAATAGGTCTATTTACACTACTTGAAATAAATCAACGTTAATGAACCTATAATAAAAGTATATTATTCATAACAAGTACATTTTGATTTCAGTGATATATGGAAGAAATATTTATATATTTAAACAAATAAAAAATGGTTAGTTTCCGTATCAGAAATAGGGACTTACTTATTATGTCGGTGTACTGCACAAATTGGTAAAATGAATCCAGAGACATATGTGACATATTAAATAAAGTTAAAAATAATAATGCAATGAATATTAATGTAAAGATCAGTAATGTTCAGCACCAGGAAATAAATGCAAACGCAAATATAAATATAATATACCAACAAATAGGCCGAAATGGGAATAGGAAAATAATTATGACCATACCCATTGTATGGTCATGATCGCGTCCTAGAGACCACGTTCCTATTTGTTTTATTAGTCAATTTATTTAACTGCTAATCCTATTCACAACAACAATAATTAAGACAATAACAATTTTTTGTTACCAGATTGGGTGAAGAATATAAGATGATGGGAGGCATGACTTTACAGATGATCGGAAGCATTTGTATATATTAATAAACAGTTTTAATTTTGTTCATAACTAACTGAGATGAAACTTATATTCTAACTGTGATTCTTTTATGTTTTAGACTTGCGGAACAGTAACCCTATATCACGCAATCATGGCGTATTTACATTATTCAAAAATTATGAGATATCATCATAGTAATCATATATTTGAGATATTAAATACATAAATACATTAAAGAATAATGTAATTTTTATAAATAATAACAAGTAATAATTTAATTATTATTAATTAATAATTCATGTTGTTTACAATATAAGAAAAACATTTTTTATTTATAAAATAAATAATATATATAGTAAAATTATATTCAAAAAACTTTTAAAAAAAATTTTTAATTATTTTTATTTTCATTTTCCTCATCATACAAAATTTTGCGTAACTCTCTATAGTTACTTAAGTTTTCCTTTATGTTTTTGAACTCCATCACAAGATTATGCGTTGTTCCTGGTTTAGCACAATATTCTGTCATCTGAGAATCCAAACTGAAATTAATTTTAATTTATTTTTGAATTAATATTTTTTTTTAATATTAATATTGAACACTTATTTGTATAGTAACAACACGGAAAGAAATCCATGAATTTCGTTATCGAATTTCAATAAGAGATAATACATAATAATATCATAATTACCCCATTTTAAGTTTTGATTTTGTTTCTATTGTTTCAGCGAGTTCGTTTATTGAAAGATTCATAAATGGAGTTTCGAATTCTTCACAGAATCTCTGTACAACATGCGCACCATCCTTTGACCTATACGACTTTGCACCTATAATATTAATTTAGATTTTATTAATATATATGTATAAACTTTCTAACTACATAAATTTTTTTTTTACCTTTCTGAGAACTATAAATTGTTGATATTGTCTCATCATGATTACTTATATCAGTTTCTTCCGTTACCAAGTCATCATCATCGTAACGAGCATCATAATTACCTCGACATGCATTGATAAGTACAAATTTTTCTGTACATTTAAGTGTTTTATTAGACATTATGGCATTGAAAACAGTATCCTTGATATTATATGTATCAGTTTTCGTATGGATTATATCATCTTCACCACCATGTGACATTACTACAATATATAAATTTTTCAATCCTGTAAAATTAAATCTTCTCACTGCAATGAAAAAATTTTAATAAGCTTATGAGGTACATTTTTTTATATATTAGAATACCTTTGGACATAATAGATTTCACTTCTTCTGCACTGCCATCTTTTAAAATAATGAACGGAATTTTTTTGCTTTTGAAAGCTTCTCGTAATCGTTCGATATCGTGTATGCTTTCAGATCTTATAGTGAATTGCTCAAAATTCATATGATTTATAATAATAACTAATGCTGGATTGATGTTGTAATAATACAAATTCTCAGTTGTAGTGGTTAGAGAGTACAGTATATATCCTAAAGCGCTATGTTTATTTATTGATTAGTATATGATATATATGTTATGTATATACTAAAATGTGAGCTTACGATTCTTTATATTTAATTACACCCCAATCTTCTTTCAAAATCTTCACTATTTCTTGTATGCTTTTCTGTTCACCATGTGTAATCAACTGATTAAAAAACATAAAAGGAAACATCGTTGGATTATTTTGATCAACTACACCACAGGCTATAAGTAAAGATTAAATGTTTATAAGACAATAAAAGTATTGTAACTTTTAATGAAGAAATGTCTATAGCATTTAAATATGTAAATAAAAATTAAGTAAAGTATATCAAAATTCATTTGAAAGTTAGTGATTCAATTGTGTACATAGTTTTTGTTTTGTGGTGTGTTGAAATGGTGTACTCAACTCCCTAACATTAATATGTTGTATACGGACTAAAGTACCCCCTTTTTAGCGCGACTTAATCCCCCTCGGAACCGCTTTCGTATTACCTCGAGGAGGGTCTCTTTAATGTTGGTATTTCAAGCCACGCACATGTGTCTGCACTATTTATTATTCTAGTTTCTGGTTCTCCTTTACAAGTCTAGTTTCTTCGTTTTAAGGACTTGATTTAATATGACTTTATCGTTCGCCTACTCTCTGAGTTCGCTTTCATCTTTCCACTATTTTTTCGGGATTTATAGGTCCAATCTGCGCTATCATCTCTTCTCTTCTGTACATATAAATTTGAATGGTTTTCAAGAATTTCACGAAATGTTCAGAATCTGAAACCTCTAATCTATAAATGAAATATGATGACGCTAACGCTATTTTCCTTTTTATTACATATATATATAGCACGATGCTTTAGTATGTTATTCAGTATTATTTCATAAAATCCTATATGAAATGATATGACTTTCAATTAACAATATTATGTTTAATTAAATTGTCTAATTGGAGTTACATATGAAAACTAATCGATATAAAGCCTATTTATTTCTTAAGGCACATATAGTAAATTAACAATTCATATAATTTCACTTACTTATGCTTTCACATTGTATTAAAATAAGATTATCAACTGGTGGAAGGTTCCGAGAATTAGTGTTTTTAAAGCATTTCGTTAGTTTCTCTTTAAATCGTACATCGTTTTGTATTGTAATAATTTCGTCGGTTTGATTTGTATTTTGGTCCTCTAAACTACAGGATTCGCTGGTACCATTCTCGATAGCTGATAGCGGCGGTGGCCTTGCAAAACTACTGTTAAAAAAATAAAAATTTTAATACGGAAGCCTTTGTGATACAAAAAAAAAACTAGAGCTTTAATTTTACTATAATTTAAAAAACCTTTACTTGACTTTTCGGCAGTCATACAGCATAATGTCACTAACCATTTTTAATATTATTAATCTGGATTCACAATTCCCAGCAAGTATATAAATTCGATTAGAACAGCGAATTTGAACAAAACTTGTGGAAATGAACCACAAAACACTTAAAATCCAGCCATTGAAAAACTAAATATCACCTTGTCTTCGGCAGATGATCAGGGAACTCAGATATCAACATACGTTTATATTTTAAAGATAAAGCTACTAACCAAAATAACTTGATAGACAATGATGTTAAGCGAAATGGAAAATTTATGCCAAGTCTGATGTGTAATAGCAATATTTACAGATCTGACCATGAGTCCGATGAATATCAAAATATTTTCATTTTTCATCAAAATTGCTCGTGTTTTCTCGTGTACAATCAACTGAGGTCGCTGGTCAAACCTTCGAGAATAATACGTGATAGATTCAAGTTATAAGCGCAATTTATTGGACTGGACCTTATTTTGAAAGATTTGAAATTTATATAATTGATCATGATAAAAACATGTTGATACAACTGCAGATTGTAACGAGAGTCTGACTGTCAGTAACGTATTCTAGGGAAGTTTAAGGGTTAAATGACCCCTTGACAATATAATATATAATAAAAAGCCAATATCCCGATAGACCTAAGTTAGTCGCAGTATTTTTTGATTCAAACAATAAAATTCATTCTCCATTCTCTTCATAAACACACTTTTATATATAATAAAATAGTTATTTTATAAAACATAATTTATGTCATATATCACTTACGAGAAATTTGACTTCAAATGTGAACACAATAGTATGATTTTAGTTACATATTTGAGATGTTCATTGCTATTGATAGCTTCATATAGCTTCTCCAATTGCTTATCCATATTACAAGAACAAAGTAGTGAAAAAACAAATGTAATAGTTGTACAGCCAACATATTTTTTTTCCGAAACTACGATATACAATAAGCAACAACTACTTGTATTGTTTATGAGAATACACCAAAAAATTTACCTTTCTTAAGAATATCACTAAATTTTATTACAGGTTCAATATATAAAAACCTCTCAATACACTCACAATCTACAATATAAGTTTTCACTTTTATAGCATTATATTCATATTCCATACACTCCATGTTTAAATATTAAGCTTAACTGTTTCAGCAAAGACTTCAGAAATTAAACTATACTGTCTCAATTCCTTTAGACGATTTTCCCTCATATATTAACACACGAATATAAAAAAAACAGGGTTTAGTTAAATATGTTTATAGTTAGGGTTCTGAAATATTTTATGGGATTAAGGGCACATATACTTATCGTACCCTATTAGCTTATGTTTATATTGATTTCGTATGGATTTGATGTGAGAAGTGGCACATATTGGTGCATATTTATTGAATCAAGTACAATATATTGAACATAGCACAAGACATATAAGTATTAGTAAGTAAATTTGTGTTTTTATTGAAAAAATCTGTTGAATGCTAGCTTCAATGGAATATTACAGGAAAATACGGGTAAACATAATACATAATACGGGTACACATAAAGGAACAATTTAATATTTTCGAATAACATCAAAAGTTTTAGCCCTTTATGAAACGAAACCCCAAATATGATGTATATCTTATCATTCCAAATAATAAGATATACAATGAATTTTATAGATAAGCGTTTAACAATAAGCACTTTTACTGATTATAGCTAGTTGAGAATAATTCAATATAAGTTGATAAATACCTTTATCACCCTATAATTATGATTCTACTACAAATAGTACTATATGTATTAATTTTCAAATTTAACAAAAATTTCCGGTACACTTTTTAGACACGTATTACGAAATATTATTATACACCAGATATCAAATAAATATCATGAACTCAGATTATTCCCATCTCTGGGACAGTGAAAACTTGTAATATGATTCTAATAAGAAAACCATTATCAAAGGGTTAATTTATAATTAAATTAATACATTGGTTAATATACTCGTACTTTTTAATCATTTTTAATTACCTACACTTATTTGACACCTTTTAATTTGTTTAATTAATAGAAATAAACTATATATATATATATATAAGTAGCAAATATTCACAAAATATTGACTTTTTTGTGACCCACATTTTTGTTGACAAGCTTATCAATTTATATTGTATATAATAATATATACAAGGGCTGTTTTTTGAGTCTTGCGCCTAACAATGGAAATACAGTGGTTAATCACTGAAAATAGTTTTATTGTTTCTTGAAGTATTCTCCATCATGATCGATACATTTCTGCATTCTATTGATTCAATTTTCGAAAAAGCTTTGACACTCCGAAGTTAGAATCGAGACATTTTTGCATTCTATTGATCCAATTTTCGAAAAAGTTTTACCTCTCTGAAGTTGGTATCTCCAAAACCAATTCTTTGGGCTTTAAATGTCTTAACGCCCTACGAAAACATTTATTTTATATATTATAACATATGGGAAATAATAATGCAATACATAATAGTTCAGTTTATGAAGACATTTATTTATTTAAATAAATTTACTTTAAATAGTCTAATGTCTATAACAACTATATTTTATAATAATTACATATTGGATTGCCAATAAATATAATTACAGTCTAACCATAAATATCCGGTAACATTATAATATATATACTTATAATAATAATACAGTTTATTAGAAATAAAACTGTCTGAACTTTATTTTTGATTTCTAATTAAAAATTATTAATTTATATAAACGAAATTATTTATTTTAATAATTAATTTTATTTAATAAAAAAAATTTGAATATAAATTATTTTTTAGAAATTACAATATAATATATAGCGAAACATTTCAAACAATATTTATTTAATTAATTTTATTTTGATTTTTCTCGTCATCTATAATCTTGAATAACTCCTTATACGTACTCAAGTTTTCCATTATATTTCTAAACTCCATAACGACGTTATGTGGTGTTTCCGGTTTTGTACAATACTCAGTAATTTTAGATTCAAAGCTGAAATTTATATATAATTTTATATACATTAATGTGATAATTATGAAATTAATTTTTTGTTTATGTGTTAAATAATATTAATTAAATCACTGATTTAATAGTGGGAGTCATTTTTCAAATTCACCCTGACATAGAATATCGTATGGATTTTAACATCCCGCGCATTTTTCCATTTAACAACAAATTTTAGCAAAGTCAGCTATTTTGAGCAATATTTTCCTCTACGCTATATACCGATGTAGCTTATTTCTAAGGATATCGAAGTTTAAAGCTTTTTGCATTGATTATACTAAGAAAAACTACAAACGCCATCTAGTGCTAACAAATAACAAATCAAAAACGTACCGAATGTTGTTGATGATTCATATCAAAACTTTTTTATTTGAAAGAGTCATATCTCAAAAACTAAGCTATATTGATATATAGAGTACTGAAAACAGTTGCTCGAAATAGTCGTCTTGACAAAAATGCGTTGTCCAAATTGTCATGGTCAGGAAATCCGAATCCTGCCAGGATTTTAATGGATAAAAATACTATCAATAATTTATGTGTCATCAATTCTTTATAAAATCCATATTTTACTGAATTAAATATTAAAATTTGTTGCATATTATTGTGCAAACGATAGTGATCAGTCAACACGCACTCAATTACGTGTTGTATTCCCGAGTCAGCACTTTTTTTAATCTATTTTGTTGTTTCCCATTCTTTTACAAGTTGTAGAGTTATTTCGAAAAATATAGAGTCTAAATAAGTCTAGAATAAAGTTACTATGTTAGCCTGCCCTTAATTCTATCAATTTGTAAAGTATATTCATCTCTAGATTAGATTTGATAATATCCAATCTCGGTGTTTTGGAGCATGTATTTGGATCATAATATGATCTGGTATAATAACAAACTAGCCGGTATAATAACAGTTATATACATTGACTATGTCTAACATTAACTATATATACTAACTAAACATATACTAGTTGATATATCAGAGAATCTTAAACTAAAATTTGAGATAAATCAAATTTCTTACTAAAACACAAAGTTGAAACATCCTATATGTACAACTATTTTTCGGGTATAAGGTGCAATAATACTATGGTAATTTGAATTATAACAGGAAGATAAGCATAATGAGTAAAAACTAGTTTATTCATAAATATAAAATTATCAAATTAGTATTTAACAAACTAAGGTTGTTGAACTGTATTACACAAATGCCAAATTAAGACCTACGGTCTTAGTGCCTATATTATGCCTATATTAAACGAAGTACAGGTTATATACGCACAAAAAATTAACTATAAACCTAATTACTTAGATTAAACAGAGATAGCACTAACATAACTCATTAATAAACTTAAATAAATAAGTATGCCAAAAATTAAAAATTTACTTTTTAGAAATGATAATGACTTTTCAGAAATGATAAGATAAAAATGATTTCGTGGAATACGTATTAACAATTACCTCATTTTTCTTTGTAAATTTGTTTCGATTGTTTCAGCGAATTCATTTATCGAAAGATTCATAAATGGGCGTTCGAACTCTTCACAAAACTCTTTTACAACTCGCGCACCATCCTTTAACATATACGAGACTGTTCCTATAATGTCAATATATAAGTATATATAAATAAGTATTTTCATACTCATATAAGTTATTTGTACTAATTATATAATATATATTTTGAATCTAATACATTCTAATTAAAATATTTTCTACCTTTCTGAGAACTATAAATTGTAGTTAATGTCTCATCCTGATTGCTTGTATCAGTTTCTTCTACTTCCAACTCGTCATCATCGTAACGTGGGTCATAAGTACCACGACATGCATTGACAAGTACACATTTTTCTGTATGTTTTAGTGTTTTATTAGAAGTAATAGCATCTAAAACTGTATCCTTAATATTATATGAATCGGTTTTGGTATATATGACATCATCTTCATCACCATGTGACATCACCACAATGTATAAATTTTTTAATCCTGTAAAATTAAATCTTCTCACTGCAATAGTAATAGTACATTACGTTAATTGGGGTAATATTTTTATTTATTACTAATAAATATTGAATAGCTTTCAACATACCTTTGGACATTAGACGTTCCACTTCTTCTGCACTGCCATCTTTTATAATTATAAAAGGAATCTTTTTGCTTATAAATGTATTTCGCAATCGTTCAATATCATAGGCGCTTTCAGATCTAATAGTGAATTTCTCAAAATTCATATGATTTATAATAATAACCAATGCTGGATTGATGTTGTAATAATAACTACTTCCAGTTGTTGTGGTTAGAGAATACAGTATATATCCCATAGAGCTATTTTTTTTTAGTGATTAGTATGTGCAACTACGACTATATAAAAATTTAACTTACTTTTCTTTATATTGTATTACACCCCAGTCTTCCTCTAAATAATTTGCGATTTCCTGTATACTTTTGTCCTTACCATGTTCGACTATCTGATTAAAAAACATGAAAGGATATACAGCGGGGTTATTTTCATCAACTGGCATGGTTGCTATAAATTATATTGAAAAAGTTATTTCTCTGTAATTTTTAAATATACTAAGTAATCATATGTATGGTGCAATATACAGTTATGAAGTAAAAAATATTAAATGTGAATATATGATTACAATTTTAATTAATCTCGAAACACAAGTTATATTCACATTCACAAGTTTTACAATATAAATAATAGGTTCTTAAATTATTTTTTATCGTTAATAATATAACATATAAGTTTCATATGTTACATATCTAGAGAAGAGTTCATTAAGGTGGATTGTAGTGCAAACCCCAACTCTGCCATATATACCTAAATTAATGTAGTACTCAGAAGAACAATTTTGACGCTAATAAATTTGCATCAAATTCTGTTTTTCAGAACATGAATTCATAAACATTAGTTGCAAGAATTCAATCGATCTGGTAGTTTAAAATATAACTGAATCAATTTTATAAATGTTATGGTACCAGAAACAGTCAGCTAGAAGCAAAAACCGTCAACAACCCCTGCTACAGTTTCATCGCTAACTAGAAAGGTGAACCACAATAATAATTCTAATACAGCAATGGACATTATTATTCAAAACTTCTATATAAAATATGGAATCGCTGTTTTGAATATAAAATATATTTATTTAATTGTAGAAGAGTGCCAAAATAGGGAACAGGACAATAACTAAACTATTTAAGGTCTGTTTAATTTCTAAACACTATACTATATTATAAGACCCCAATTTTAAGCTTACTTATGCTTTGACATTGCAGTAAAATTAAATTATCAACTGGCGGAAGTGCTCGAGAATTGGAGTTCCGAAAAAATTCAGATAACACCACTTTTAACATTACATCGTTTCTTATCGTAATAATTTCATCAATTGTATTTGAATTTGAAGTAGTCTCCTTTGATCTGTTGGGCTCACTATTGCTATTTTTAACAGCAGATGACTCAGGTGATGGTGGTCTAAAAATAAAAATAATAAAATATAATTTCAATATAATAGATTTTAATCGGAAGATCTAAAAAAATGTTAATAAAAAAGCGAATAAAAAAAATAATACTAAAAATAGTAAATTTTTTAAATGTGTACAAATTATATTAAATGATATAGCATAGATAACTCTTAGAGTATAATGCAATCTCTATCAGTTAATATTAAAATCTTCAATAGAGCAATAATTTTATTATAAAAGAAAAAACATAATAATTATAACAAAGAGTCCCGTGTTTGTGGAAATCACTCTCACCCACTAGAGCTAATGTAAACGATCCAGTAACTTTAGTAAAAGCTAAACCATTAGAATTTTGTGCATATCATTATTCACCCTTTACGATTAAGCAAACATTGCCAACCATATAAAGGATAAGTGTAAGGTTACTACATTTATTAGTTATCAAGAGCAAACATTACCAACCATATAAAGGATAACTGTTAGGTTACCACTTTTATTGGTAATCAAGAGACAATTTAAGTCATTCAATTTTTCACCATCCGGGCTGCAATCATTCTAGATTCCTAGTCAAAACAGAATAAGATTAAATAAAAAAACACAGTTTAATTATATTTAATGCTCCTATGGATGTCTCCGATTTCTATTTGCCTTAATACCGATAACAGAGATAACCAACTCTACTTTTTACAACCAACATATAAAATATAACAATCGCTCACAACTAGTTTAATATTATTGTTGATCTAGCATACAATACCATTATAGCTACTATTACTCCTGGTTCTGGGAAATTATTAGCAGGGACCGAACTATCATTGGTAGAACAATTGCAGTTATTTTAGACTATTGATGAAAGCATATGCTACTGTGCGTACGTACAACAAATTGCATAAGTTATGGAAACAGACTAAATAAAATAGGTATTTATTTTATCAATTATTACCCCACTTTGACTAGCAATAGAAACATAATATTGGAGTAGAACATCCTTGTTAGATTTTAGAACTGCTCACCGGTGAGAACAAAATATCTTTTAAACTACAAAAATTTAGTGGGTCTTTTGCATTTCTGTGAATTCAAAAAAATCCACTTAAATGAGGTCATCAGGAAATAGGAATGGAAAAAATTAATAAAACACTGGCTTAATATGTAGGCCAAGATCAGGCAAAACGAGATTTTAGCCTAACAAAAATAAAAAGTAGCATATTTTTGCAAAGCTGAAAAAACTTGAGAAATCTAATTAGTTATTTTACTGGCCATTGCAGTCAGCAATATCACTTAAATAAGCTAAGGTTCTCCGACAATGATGTCTGTCACAAATGTCACTGAGAATATGTTCACAGCATAGTCTTTGTGGACGTTCAATACTTCGCGGACAAAGACATCACTACTTAGTTGGAATTATTATCCCTTAATATGAATTATGGAATATCAAATCCCAAAAACCGTGCTATAATATATAAAAAGCATAAAAAGTTTGACCTTTAATAATAATAATTCAGAAACTCAATAAGCTGGATCTAGGCATATCTATGTTGTATGCTTACGAGGAATGTGGCAATAAAACGGTAAATACTCGCTTACTACGAAAATTTCAAAGATATCTACTGATCAGCCGCTGGAACTAACTAAGCATATAGTGAACATGGTCCATTACTACAATACATGCATTTTGATTTACAAATTTAATATGAAAATTATAAACAATTTAATGTAATTCTTAGCACTATAATAAAATAAAAATTAAGTTAATAAAATTCTATAGCATTATATTTATATTTATTAGATTATATATTATATATTCAGTGGTTTATACACCTAACCACTTTCATTGCGAAATGAATTCCTCATAAATAATGTCTCACAGAAAAATAAACGGCTGTATGGGGTCTCACTATCTCTTACTACTACCAGTTATTGTTTACATTTCCCATATAAGTATAAGATAATAATTTTTGCAATATATCACTTACGCTTGGATATGTGAACACACCATTATAATTTTGGATACATATTTCAGATATTCATTGCTATTGATGGCTTCATATAATTTTTCCAATTGCTTGTCCATATTGCAGAAACACAATTGTCTGAAAATGAAGGTAATAGTCGCATAACCTTCATATTTGCTCGTTGCAACTGTAATAGTCGAAATTTTTCTTCATATATATTATAAACATATCTGGAAAAACTTACCTTCCTTAAGAATATCGCAATACTTTCTTTTGGGTTGGTAAATTGACAAGCTTTCCATACACTCACATTCTATCATGTAGAAATCAATTTTTATTGAATTATAACTATATTCCATAGATTCCATGCTGAATTCTTAAAAGCAAATGTTTCACCGAAGAATTCCAAAACCAAACTGCCCAAAATATTTATTCTTCCCCCAAAAATTAATGTTTATTATATTTGTTTTTATATTTTTATTATATTATTAATATATGATTCACAGGTAAAGCGGAAAACATTAGTTGTGAAGAATAAAAAAAGACCGTTCAGTTATACATAATTATAGTCAGGGTTCTGACATATCAGCATAGTTAGGGAAAGGTTCAATCAAATTATCTGTGTAATAACAATTTATAATATGATTAGACTATTAATGAATCAGGTATTAGTAATGAGTACATTGGTATATCCAACATAAATGTAAATAATAAATAACGGATATTTATAATAAAATTCATTAAAAATCTTTTTATATATTAATAATACAAATTACTATCATATTTTTATATTATTATATTTTAATTATTATTGAAAACCTAAATTCAACAAATATAAATAATATTTATATATTACATTTATACATATTATATTATTATAATATATATTATATATATTATTATATTTAGAAGGGTTCGAGCAGTAATAAAGAAACAACAACTACAAAAATTTCGTAGCAATACTCGAATACTATGATTGAATGGAACAATATAGTCCTATATGTAATGACCGCGAAAGTCCACAAATGACTTAAATAATGTATACTGACACCCTTAACTAGTATATCTTTTTATAAATACATATCACTTATCTTACATATTATATATATTATTATATTTAGAAGGGTTCGAGCAGTAATAAAGAAACAACAACTACAAAAATTTCCTAACAATACAAAAATTTTTGTAGTTGTTTCTTTATTATTATTTGAACCCATCTTATTTTTTTTTCGTCATAAGATGTGTCACGTAATCGACACAAAAATCCAACTTCTTATTATAGTCAATTTATTAATAAAATATATATATATGTTTATATATATATATTATATTTATATATATATATTATATTTATATATATATACTTACTGTATTTAAGTAATTTTAATATTAATACATAACCAATGAAAGTAGTTTTGATATATTAACCCATTTTGAAACGCAGCCCTAAATATGAAGGATATCTTATCAATCATTATAATAAGATTTGCAGTGAATTTTATTGATAAGAATATAACAATTGACGTTTCATGACACTTATTAAGAATAATATAATTTGAACAATACTTATAATGGATACACTTATAATTAAGATAACACTCCTTAAGGTACATTAGTTACAAAGACTGTCTTGATATAAGCAGGGGCCAGTTCAAGTTGATGTTATACATAAAAGTCAAACTATTATGCTTCCAATACAATATACTAAGCTACTAACTCTATAAACAGTAACTGCGTTAAAGTTGAGCGCGATAGGACCGACATCAAAGAGCGATGCCAATAAAGCGGTACCAAATCCTAGTCAAAGAATAGTTTTCTATTATAGCGAAGTATGGATGTACTAAGGTTCTTTAAATAATTTTACATAAAAACTTTCTCATGGTATGAGTTTCATGGATCTTTTAAATATATTTTTGATATATCCTACTATGTATTTAAAAAAAATTTAGATTTTTACTGTATTCATAACGAATCTAAAAACCACAACTCTATGTTCTCTTAGTTTACAAAAATGATTTGACCAATGCAATCAATGATCCTGTAAAACGCAATATCTGTAAGAAAAATTATATTAAATTCTATATATAAATAAATATTTCAGTATATATCGTAATTATTACCGATGCAAAAGCTGGTAAAGATGGTGCAAAAAATGGCACTTTAACAACTAGAGGGCGTTGTGCACGCAACATCAGTAATAAAACCATTTTTTGAATATTTTTATCTCTCTTATACCAATGACTGCAATAAGCTTCTTCACTGACTTCTTGTGACTGAAAATAGTTAAATGTTAAATCATATGATGAACACAGCATGTCTAATTTAAATAGGGTCTTCGTATTTAATACTGTTCAATCTTATTTTTTTATAGCTTGAATTTGAATACATCAAATCCTTATATTATATGTAATTTTAAAAATCTTACGCTCTCAATAACAGCTGATCCACCATAGCAAAATAAAAATAACTCCATTGTCACACATATGGCATAAACAACATACAGTACGATTCCAATACCAGTGAGCTGCAGGAATAAAAATTATAGTTTAGGTTATCATGAAAGATATAATATTTAATATATATATGGTACTTAAAATATGAATGTATATATAACTAAGGTTGCTTTAGTTAACTTTAGTTGAAGTTAACGATGGATGTCATGAAGTAGACATTGGATCTGACATACTTTTCATAGATCCAATTTAAATAATGTAGAAAAGCTGGATTTAAAGCTATGTATTTGCAATTATAATATACAAGTCTATTTACATCGGTTGTTTCTCCCAATATAAAGAACAAGTTATGGTATAGAAAGCAATTGCTAATATAATATATAATATATTTTTAAAACCTGTACTAAAAAAATTTATATTATAATTTCTAATTGATCCACATTCTAGTTTAAAAAAAATTATAACGATTCCTTATGATCCTTTATAAAACATATTATAGATAGATTTAATAATTGAACTTACAAATAAAATTGCTACAACACTTGTGCCAATAATCATACTCGATGACACAAAATGACTTAAGGTAGTAATAGCCATTATCTTTGAAAAACGTTCAGTCAGTACCGATATTTCATTATGTCGTTCTATAATTAGTTTTAGTTTTTGCTCACATCTACTTGAATTTTTGTCAGTGTCTGTAATATGATTAAAAAATTAGAATAGTGTAAACATATTGTATATATTACGAATGTAATTTTTATAATATTACTCACCAGTTAATTCTGCCAAAGTAGACGTAATGTCCAATTGAACACATTTTAAAAGCGCTGTGATATATAAGCAATAGGAAAAAAACATGCAATCTGAACCAACAAAAGAAAATGGCGTAATAAATCCATGCCAAGCAATATAGATATAGGTTATTGGATACATCGGCATTCTACATAACACCTGAGGTAACCTTATTCCAAAGAGATATTTAAAAATTTTTTATTTATTTATATTTAAATTTATAATTTTTTAAATTTAAGATTGATATAACAAAATATCTTAGCTAAATAAAAAAATTAATATCGGTGGTATAGAGGGTTTTTGAGAATTTTGGCTTTGAACATTTCTAAAATTATGGATTAACTACAATTTTTAAACAAAAAAATATATAATAACAAATTCATTTATCTCCCTTCTTTAAAGTAGAAAAATATATATGATTGAATGGAACAATATAGTCCTATATGTAATGACCGTAAAAGTCCACAAATGACTTATCCCCGTTGATAAATAATGTATACTGACATCCTTAACTAGTATATCTTTTTATAAATGCATATCACTTATCTTACATGAGCTTAAATGGCATTTCGTGTGCATAATCCAAATCACTTAAATATCGAAATAGATTGGAGACCAATGGACGTATTGTGAATGTAGTTGTAGTACAAATGGCCAAAAAAAAAACGATAGCTGATAGACGAGTCGTTAGCGTGAAGAGTTCGCGTCTCAATTGATTTTTAGGTTCACTATTTTCTTGTTTTAACAATAATACCCGAATCCGTTCCATGAGCGAAGAGAACTCATCACGATACATCCAAATGCTGATCATTTTAAACAGAGACATTGTACTAGTAGCTGCAGGACATAACGCATCCAATGCAGTTAGCGGATCAATTGATAGATTATAGATGCCAAAAGTGAGTTCCGCTGTAACACATGAAGCCAAATTTATGAAATTTATTGCAGCCCATATATAGAGTGTATATGTTTTTGGTGATTCTGGATCACAACCTATTAAACGTAAACTATACTTTGGTATCAAAAATAAATGTTGCTCCAAAGGATATTGATCAGTTAAGAACTGCGGTAACATCTTAATCTTTATCTAATATTTTTAAAAATTTTTAAAACTCAATGTACACCTTTTTCTTCACTTCTAATAGCTTATGAAGTGTACAAGGAAAGTTTTCTGTTTTTATAGGAACTGGAAAGTGCGTAGGTAATTGAGAATTACTGCATGTCTTATTTTTCTAACTTTCTGAAAAAACTTTTTAAAAGTAACTGAAATCATGCTAATTATAATGTGGAGGATAATTGATTTAACACGCTCAATGGGCGGAACTGAACTATTACGACTGAATAATTATTGATTAAATTTAATTTTAAAAATGACACCTCCTTTGAAAAGTTTCTTAACTTTTCTTAATATAATAATAGGTTTAACAATAATAGAAACAAAACTGTGCATTTGTGAAAGTTTTATTATTAAAATATGTTATAGTACTGCTTGATATATATTCAGTTGTTGAACTATGAAATTAGAGAAATATTAATTTAAGTGAAAAAGTTTAATTAACACAATGTTTTATCGAATTATCATCCGGATAAAACATTTTCACAATTTGTAACCGATATAAGTTCAAATTCTTCAAAATTATTCTATATAATTCCTTCATATATCAGCTACATACACATAACAACTAACAACGTATTAACAGAACCAAAAATTACAATGGAATGTTCAATGTGTTGGCGGGTAGAAGATATAGTCAAACAATTCGGGCCTTTCTCTTACATAAGCTATAAATTTTATTCACCATTTTGTTCTATCTCAATCTTACTATCTGTTCTCTATTATTTTGACTGTTCTTCTAGAAAAAAAATTAAATATTTATTATCACCTTGAAAACTAATGAACTATCTGTCGGTAATAGATAGTTGGATAGCGGCTTAATCCAAAAGGCTAAACATACTCAAAGGACTTGAATTTACTAGAAAGAAATATTACGGAACGAACTCATTACATAAAATCTAAATGTTAAACAATTAATTTTACAACTTAACTTAATATCAGAGTATTATGCAGCATTATGACCTGCAGATCTTTTATGTGACCACATTAATAAATCAAAGCAATAAGCAGAATTCTTACAGATCTCTTATGTGACCCATCAATTAATGAAAGTAGTTACCAGATTTCTTTCAATTTACTACTCTAACCATATCAGTTACGTACATGATTTTTATCATATAATACATCTGCTTATATATATCTCAAAAAACTTAAACTTGAACTCAGTCGCTTATTACATCGTATTACATGGTAATGTTGTGAAATCTTAATTCTTGTTTACTCAACGACTCTATATCAACACTGCCTTTTTTTAATCCTAAAGTGTGTTGACACACTAGATTAATTCCATAGATTAAACATGTCTTTTCTAACATTTTTCGTATTATTTAGCCAATTTTTAGTATAGAAATGTTCTAGAACTTTTGTATCGTTTGAAAATGTTATTAAACGAGTAATATATATGTACAAATTTTTATTTCCTTTTTCTGGTCGATGGTATTTTCACATACACAATACATGCCCAAATTTTTTTAAATAGGCCTTACGCAAAAGTTAAACCACCAAGAAATTGATTTAATGTGTCCATGGTTAAATAATAGAATAGCCCGGATTTAGTAATTGTAATGGTATATGGATCAGGCTAAGACCTTTATGCACTGCGTCCAGCTTGATCTATTGTGCACCCCTTTGTATTTAGACATTTAGTTTCTCGACGGATCAAACCAACTCCTTCAGAATGATTTTTTGAAGATCTTTATCCTCATTTGGTGTGCACCTAAAATTTTGTGTCTTCTGTGGCCTAGTGCATCACAGTTGGTGATGGCCCAGAGTTATGCATCTTATGAAATGACCAACTTCAGCACGCCTCTCTAAACAAGGTCTCTTCACTTTACAAGAACAAAAATGTTGCCATTCGTATTTTAAGCTGAATAAGTTCTGCTCGCCTCTCTAAACAAAGTCTTTAGGTGACAACAACAACAATTTCTAACCTAAAATATCCTATTGCTTATGTTTAACAAGAATTTTCCTTTACATTTTTGTATAACAGTTTTTATAACTACTGGATTTCTTGGTATTCCGAATTTCTTCTTTTATAACAGTTATTTAAGCAATAGAAAAAAGAAAATAAAAATAAGGTGCGCTGATTCTGAGCTTCACATTTGGCAGGACCCGAGTTAGATTCCTGGTACTTGCAGTCTCAAAAAAAATTTTTTACGAATAATTAAATACAAGAATTATTTCCAAGACCACTGATGTTGGGTATTTGGCAATACTCGAAACAGCTGTACAACAGCTGTCAGCCAAAAATTCAATTAATTAAAATAATTTTTTGTTGTTGTAGTTCACTACTGTTCGAAAAAACCTCTTTAAAAATATTTATATAATTTTACAAAACATGATATTGTTTTTAAATTAATGAATTATTTTTTATTGCAAAACACATTAAATGTCGATATTAATATTATTAATTTTGTGTTATCAATTTATTGCATTTTTTGTTTTTAATTTTTGTTGTTTTTTTGTTGCTTTTTTTTGTTGTTGTGAAAACTTTAACCCACATACGTACGAGTTTATAAGTATGCGTATTTTAACATTTTAGTATTAAATAACATTTCGAAGCAAAAGACATAATAAAACGTTTAAGCAATTCTTTTGTATATTTATTATTATTTTTTTGTTTTTGTTTTTGTATTTTCTTTTTTTTTGTTTTCAATAACATTAATACGAGGATGATTATGCCTATTTGTTAATGATTATTTGTATTTTCTAATTATTTGCCTGTGTTTTTCATTAAAATTTTTACGTCAATGCTTTTTACTGTAATTTATAAACACAATATATAAATATTTATAAATGCAACAAATTTAATTTCAAAAAATTGTAAATTGCAGCTAAACTATATTTTAAATGAAATTTAAAACTTAAATTTACAATCTCATTATAACATTATTAGAGCGTGATAGTGCACCGCGATCATAATAGATCTTTTCTATCTCATTTGAAATGTATAGTAAGTAAGAATTATAAACAGAATGCGTTAGCATTAATTGTATTGAAAAGTTCAAATATTTTATTAAAGCATATACATATATATATTTGATTCTAAATATATTGAACTTTTTAGAAACTATGGAGTATGGTACCGGCAAATATATTAGCTGCATACTGGACCATACTAATAATTCTTCTCTAATAACTGCAATATTTTTGTGGTTCTTTACTTTTCATTACTTCACTCGATTGAGCTTAAAATTTTGCTAAATGCAATAGTTTACAGAATGATTTTTTATTAAAAAAACTAAATTTACTTATAAATGTTAGGAAATTGTGTATATAAACTAGAAATTCGACTAAGTGCATTTCAATACACATTATAGTAATAAATAATAAGCGAATTATTATTAGAAGGTGAACTTTGACAAAAAATTAGCTCAGAAACCAAAACAGTTTACATAGGTCACATATTTTGACAGTAAGTCTACACTATTATAACAGTTAGTTGAGAGGGTTATTATAACATTAATATCTAACAAGATATCAAAATTTTAGGGAATGGTAGGGTTTTAGGCATATTAGCCTGACATTAAAGAGGTCTCGATATATAACTTTATAACTTGAGACATTGAGCAAAAAATATATATATATTTATATATCTATATAATATATATATATATATATATATATATATTGAAAAATTATAATTTGTTAAGTTTTATAGCAACACTATTGGGGTTTAACTACATTATTTTTTTAGTTTTTAAAACTTTAAACTTTATATTCTTACTCATGTAGAACATTAACTGTTACTTTTAATACAACTTTTGTTTTCAATATTTTTCTGGCACTGCATATTTTATATTACTTCATACCGTTGCTTATCATTATATATAATATATATGATGTATAAACAAAACACTTTTATACTACAAATTTGTTATGGTAATATGGTTAAAAATTTTTCCACTTAAAGCCAGATTACAATTATAACATTAAAACTATAAATAAAAGCAAAATTGAGTTATATATACGGTCTGCTCAACGTTTTAAGTGTGCAATAAATTTTAGTTTAACTTGTACGTTTTCAAATGGCAAAATCAACTTCAAAATAAATATACATTATATACACAAGATTTAACTAATTACATTTTAAATAGCATATATGTTTCACATATAAAAAACAATATTTAAAAAATTTTGAAATGAAAAACTCACAGATATGTTTATAATAAGAAATGACTAATTCAAGTTACTAACTTATAAAGTTAATTATGTTATAAACATAATGATAATGTAAATCAAGAAAAAAAATTAAAATTGTTAAGTTATATTTTTATTAAATAGTTATATAGGGATTTATGTATTTATATTCAATTTATTTTTTTTTTTTTTGAATAGAAATTTTTAATTATAGCAGCACAAAGCAAAAGTTAAAAAATAATTTACAATTCCTGTAAGCATTTAAAAATGTTATAATTTTAAATTTTATAATTCCATTATCCACTCTCTTTAATAGACTGCAGCAACAATAATCAATGTTATATGAAGCAGTTAACAAGTGAACATGATGCCAAAATTTATATCTTAAAACTATATATTGAATTCTCTTCGGTTTCTTTTTTTTTTGTATAATTATTGGCAGACAAAAAGTTTAACTTATTATTAATATTAATTTCACTATAAGACACTTATTTAGGATTTAAAACAATTTTTTAAAATAACATATATGTAAGTATTGTTAAAATATAAATACTGTCTCAAAAAAATAATTAAAGTTGTAAAACCAAATGTGTTTTAAAAATCTATTTTATTAAATCTTTCATGTATGTATATTAGACTAATTTGTTCTTTATTTCATATTATAAAATAAAACAATAATAATATAATCAAATAATTTTTATTGTTCCTATTTATATTTAAAACCCTGGCCCAGTTTAGCCTGCGATACATACGTGAAAACTTATAAACAAGTTGCCACTGAATCAATATTTAATAACAAATGGACAGACATAGTTTGTGAG